AACTGAGTGGTGCTCTTAAGGCATCGAGAGCAAGCTCCTCAAGAAGCACTGTGTCCTTCGCTGCCAGCCTGCTTAAATGCCCTGACTTTTCCCTGTGGGGACAGTGATAAAGAGCTAACAAGGAAAAGTGTCACAGAGTGAAAAAGCAGCAGGGAACGTGGGAGGGAGCGACAGGCATCAGAACAGAGCCCAGGCAGAAGAGCGAGGCCCTGCTCCAGTTCATTTGGGATGAGCTGAGGTAATACAATTAGGAAACAGCCATTTCCTTACAATCTGCTGCAATGCCAATCTTCCGTGTGACCCAAAAACTTGATTGGGAATTTTTCTATCAAGACACAAAATACAGAAGATATAAAGGAAAATACTGACAGACTTGATTGCATAAAAGGTAAAAATCAGACAGTCATTTGGTGCCATGGTTATTTCCCTGCTTGAAACACTTGTCTATCAATTGGGGTAGTGAGCTCTAGTCCTGGCTGTGTTTCCTATCTCCTGTCCAGACACATCCTCAGAGACAGCAGGTCTTGGCTCATCAAGAACTTGTGTCCCTGTCACTCATGCAGGAGACCAGATGGCGTTCTGGCTCCTGGCTTGAAGTTTAGCCCAGCCCTGGTCATTGAAGCCATTTGTGGGAACTAACCAGGGGATAGAAGATCTCTCTCCCCTCCTACTTCTGTTATCACATTTATGTGGGAACAGACACCAATGCATCAAAACAGAGTGATGGGCAATAAACTAGAAGAAAATATTTACAAATCATAACTTTTGTAAATATATTTTTTTTTTCATTGAAAACTCAGGATTGCAGAGAGAAGGAGAGACAGAGAGAAAGATCTTCTGTCTGTTGGTTCACTCCCCCAAATGGCTACAATGGCTGGAGTTGAGCCAATCCAAAGCCAGGAGCCGGGAACTTCCTCTGGGTCTTCCATGTGGGTGCAGGGTCCTAAGGTTTGGGCCTTCCTCAACTCTTTCCCAGGCCACAAGCAGGGAACTGGATGGGAAGTAGAGCAACCAGGATATGAAGTGGCATCCATATGGGATCCTGGCACATGCAAGGTGAGGACTTTAGCTACTAGGCTATCATGTCCAAATTAAAACATTTTAAAAAGACCTATGTATGCATGAGAAAGAGAAAGAGAGAGAGAGAGACAGAGAGAAAGAGAGAGAATATGTATGAATGAGATGAGAATGAGAGCTTTTCCAGCTTCTGGTTCACTTTCTAGATGGCCACAATAGTTGGGATTAGGCTAGACAGAAGCCAGGAGTCTTAAACTCCATCCAGGTCTCCATATGCATGTATGGACCTAAGCACTTAGGCCATCTTTCTTTGCCTTCCCAGGTGCTAATGTATGGAGCTAGATGGGAAGTAAAGCAGCTGGGATTTGAACTGGTGCCCATATGGGATGTCAGTGTGACAGGCAGAAGCTTTATCTTCTGTGCCTCATGGCTGCTGACTCTCCATATTTCAACATGACATCAATACAGGGGGGAGCATTCACAGTGTACAAAGAGCTCAGAAATTGGGGTCTGACATGGTAGCCTAGTGGCTAAAGTCCTCACCTTGAATGCGCAGGGATCCCACATGGGCGCGGGTTCTAGTCCTGGCACCCCTGCTTCCCATCCAGCTCTCTGCTTGTGGCCTCGGAAAGCAGCGGAGGATGGCCCAAAGCCTTGGGACCCTGCACTCGCATGGGAGACCCAGAAGAAGCTCCTGGTTCCTGCTTTCAGATCGGCATAGCACTGGCCGTTGCGCTCACTTGGAGAGTGAATCATTGGATGGAAGATCTTCCTCTCTGTCTTTCTTCCTCTCTGTATATCTGACTTTGCAATAAAAACAAACAAATCTTTAAAACAAACAAAAAAAAGAGCCCAGAAATCAACAAGAATGGCAAAAATCAATGAGCAACACATATAAGTAGGTAATTTTAGGAGATATACAAAATACCCACTTAAGGAATAATAGCCTTCAGATAACTGAAGTGACAACAAAATGTCATTTTGTGTATCCAACGAAAGACTAAAATTCAAAAGTGTCATGATATTTAATATGGACAACACTGAAAGAAAAGGAACATAAACCCAAGGACTGACTCTTTAAGCAGGCTTTGCTGCAGTATCTGCCCTCTTGGTAACAACATTTCCACTTTTGAAACATTTGCTAATTAAAAGTCTCCACAAGAAGGTAAACCCAGAAGGATGTCATTGGCAACACTGTGACCAAGCACAGCCAGCAAGTAACAAACATTTTGTGACCAACTTGAAGAGGACACTTGGATGCAGAGAAGCGCCTTGCCAAGGCTCATACCACTGATTCTTCCAGGTAGTGGCAGATTTCAGTCCTGTTTCCAGCATCTGTTCTCAGCCATTGCTTTCTCTTGCAGAGTCACATTATGGTACTTCCACTCTATGGAGTAGTGCTCAGTAGTTCAAGAAGATGAGGGTTGGGCTAGTGTTGCAGTGCCAGCATCCCACAAGAGCATTGGTCTCACTCGCAGGCGCCCTGCTCTGATCCAGCTCCCTGCTCATGAACCAGGAGAAGCAGCACATGATCTGAATGTAGAATTGGTGTCCCTAGTTCGCACCTGACTCAGCCCAAGTTATTGTGGCTGTCAGGGGAGTGAACTAGAGAATGGAAGATTTCTTTCTTTCTCCCTCTCTAACTCTTTCAAATAAAGGATATGTATCTTAAAAAAAAAAGATTCTAGGGGTATTTCCATAGAAATGGAGACATCTGGATATGGTACTTGCTAATGGAGGGGAAAAGCAAATCATGACACACTATGATGGGCTATAACTATACTCACGTGTGGGGAAAGAGACACGTGCACTTGAAAAGCGAAGCCCGATGTACAGCAATGGGTGAAAGCCTTGAGTTAGGAAAGAAGACACGGTAGAAGTAGAGATTGAAGTTTTCCATGTCATGTTGTGAAAATGCCTGGTTGGGTTGAACTTTTAAACCACGTAGTTGTACAGTGCCTTTATAAAACAAAAATTACACAGACCAAGTAAGAACTGTATATAAAGACTTAACTATATCAGCAGATGAGTCTTGTCTTGTAAGCAGACATTGGTGGAGGTCTTGCCTCAACATGGACACAACGGCTTTGTCCAGTCTACAAAAATAACTGTGTGTAGATCCCAGTGGTCAGTGTAAGTACTCCAGTGCTTACTAGCCCCTTCGTTTTAAATGAGCTTTCCAAGTCCAGTGTTTGTGCCCAGGACTCTCTGTTACCCCACCAAGCTTCTTAACTACATACAGCCAGTCACTGCCAAGTTAATTAGGAATTGGGGCCCTCGCAGCGCTCCTTCTGCTGTGCATATGGTGTGTCCTCAGGAGCAGGCAGGCAAGCAGCTGCGATGCTATCTGCACAGTGCTTCCAGGCCCGAGGGGCAGGAGTGTCCGGCTGCTCTGCCCCGAGGGTGGGGTCAGCGAAGGGGATTCCTCTTCGCACCACCCAGGGCTTCCTTCAACTGCCCAAGTAAGGGTGGCTTTCACCCAAAACCCCAGCGGAGGCTCCTGGAACACTCACTGATAAAAAGGCCACTTTTAGAAAGGCGGGCCTATCTGGGGGCTTATCTGTGACAGGCCTGGGCAGAGGAGTTGCAGATTCTTACTGCTTCATGGTATCAGATTGTAGCTTTTCTGGAAGTGGCTCGTGCCTTCTAGCATAGCTTTTCATTTCCCCCCCCAGTATGCTTTCTGAGCATCTTTGCAGGGAAGGAAAATCCCCTGCACTTACAAAGCCCTGCCACTCCGGAGCGGGCGCCCCAACTGGCCCGCGCCTTTTGTTCCGGCCTGGCCCGCACACCTGCCGGACAATGCGGGGATCGGCCTTCAGGGCCAGTGTCCCCGGCCCTCCAGCAAACATTGTGCGGCAGCCCTCTCTCCCCCGCCCGCTGGGGGACCGTTTCCTTAGAAAGGCACTTCCTTAAATGGGTTTCCCGGGTCAGAGGGGCGCTCCGCACGGCTTCGGAGCTTCTGGCACAGACTTTTCCGCTGGCTCCCGGGCGGATGTGACCCCTGGCTGGCTTGGAGAGGGCAGAGCGCGGCGCGGCGACCGCGAGCCCCCTGCTCACCGAGGCCGAGGCGTCGCCCCCACCCCGCCACCGCCCTCCCGGTCCCTCCACGCGGACAGTGCTCCGGGCCAGCCGGGGAGGCCGCGCGGGCTCGTGGCTCCGGTCCTCGCCTGCGGGGCGGAAGCGTCAGCCTCAGGCCCCGCGGCCCCTGCGCCTCTCCCGCCACCGCGGTCGCTAGGATCCGAGCGCGGGTGATGCAAGGGCCCGCATAGCTGCGCGCTGAGTCAGCGGGGGCCGCGGGGTCGGCGGCCGCGCCGAGGGTCAGCCGGGGCGGGGAGCCGAGCGCCGCCCTTCCCCCGCGGGCGCGCCCCCGCGGCCCCCTCAGGACGTCCCGGCCAGGGAGGAGGGCGCGCTGAGGGAGCCGCCGCCGCCGCCGCCGCCGCCGCGGGGAGGCCGAGAGCAGAGACGGAGAGCGAGCGAGAGGAAAAGGAGCGGAGGAAGGCGGCGCGCGGAGGCCGGCGGGCGGGGCGGGGCGCGCGGGCGCGGCGGAGGGGCTTGTGGGTAGCGGCGGCGCGCGCCGGGCTGAGGGGCAGCGCAGCGGGCGTGTGGGAGCGAGCGGCGGCCGCGGCCACGATGGGAGCGGGCGGCCGGAGGACGTAGTGGCCCGCTCCTGGGCTCCAGCGTCCCGGGACGCCGAGGGCGGGCCGGCCCCTGTGGCGGTGGCGGCGGCGGCACTTCCTTGCGGGAGCTCGCCGCGCACCGGCGGACCGGGCGGCGCGAAGCCGCCTGAGGGGCGGGGACGCCGGCCGCTCCCGGCCGGGCCCCTCGGAGCCGCGTCGGGGCCCCCAGCGCGTCGCGGAGCTCGGGAGACAGAGCCGGAGGCGGCCGGAGCCCCCCTGCTCGGAGGGAGCCGGGGCTTCGGGGGTCGGCACTAGGCCCCGCGGCGCGAGGAGGAGCCGGAGTGCGGGCCCGGCGCTGGCGGCGGCATGAGCCGGCCCCCGGCGACGGGGAAAATGCCCGGCGCCCCCGAGGCCGGGCCAGGGGACGCGGCCGGCGCGGGCCGCCAGAGGAAGCTGGAGGCGCTCATCCGAGACCCTCGCTCCCCCATCAACGTGGAGAGCTTGCTGGTAGGTGGCCGGGGCCTGCGAGTCCCTCGGGCCCGGCCGGCCGTGGGGAGGGGGCGGGTGCGCCCCACCCGCCTGGCTTCCGGCGGCGGGGGCCGGACGGGCGGGACGCCCACCTTGGAGTCCTCCCGGGGACCTCCCTCCGGCCCGGGCCGCTGCGCCCCGGGAGGAAACGGCCCTCCCTCCTTCCCTTCCTCCCCTCGGGGTTTGGGGAGTCGGGCGCAGTTGGGCCCCGCCTGGTGCGCCCGTGGAGAGCGTGTCACGCCGTGTGGGGACGTGGGTGCCAGTTAGGGAAGCAGGAAACCCGACGCTGCCCGTGTTTTGGTGACAAAGAGCTGCCCTCCCTCGGTCCCTGTTGTCTGATGAGCTCAAGCTGTGCGTTTGCGGCTGTCTTTGACCAGCGCGTGTTTGGAATTTCGTTTGTGTGTATTTAATTTCTCGAGGTCATCGCGCTGGAGCGCTCCCCACCTTCCCACCCTCTCCCCCCAGTCCGGTCAGAACCGTCCAGTGTAATCAATCTCTTCCTCCATTCCACCCCTTTCCTAAGAGAGACTTTGAAATCCAAAGGCTTGCTGATTGAGGCTCGAGTAAGAAAGGGGCGCACTCTGTCCCTGGGGTTGCTCCCCCCCCTCCTTTATCGGAGTGAACGCGTCTATTTCGCAGACAGTGCTGGGGGGGGGGGCGGTGACGACTGTTACCCTGGGAAGTAGACAGTGGAAAAAGATACTCTGGATATTAAGTTAACTCCGGAGGGCTGGAGTTGGGTTGGGTGATCCCTGGCGCCTTCATGGCCATGCCAACGTGCAGTAGCCGCCTCCCACCAGGGGAGAAGCCTAGTGACCACGGGATGAGAAAAAACTGCCCTGCATTGACTGGCGGCTCTTCCGAGGCCCCTGGTTATCCTCTGAGGTTTCTGGAATCATTCGCAGAGTGACTCAGTCCTGTTTGGCCAAAATGCAGGAGCTGACTGGAGGGTGTGTGTCCTGCACAGTGCAGAGAGGGGTGCCATGTGCGGCTGTGCGGCAGCCGGGGTGGGGGCCTTCCTCTGCCGTCCCTCTGGCTCCTGTGCTGTGTCCTCCCGCGACAAGGGCCACCTGAACCATCCCTGAAGGCTCTGCTCCGCTGGCAGGCTGGGGTGCCTGGGGGCCATAGCTTTTCTGAGCCTTCCCTCCCAGGATATGCACTCTGGTATTTTGCTAACAGAACTTGGATCCAAGGCCAGAAAGTTCGGTTAAAAATAGTGGCTGTAAATCTCCAGTATTCATCAGATTCAGACTCAATTCTAGGGAGAAATGTTTTTACACTCCACTTTTATTTTTTTGGATTATCAGTGATGTGATCATGATTGTTAAGGGTTATTCTGAGCTTAATGAAGTGCCAGGCACCTCATTAAAGACATTTCTAAGTTATTGAGAGGAGGATCTTAAAAAAATGAGAGATTTGACTTATTTGGCCGGCAGCTGTAGCCCCTCGTTTATTGAGGGCTTCATTCAGCAGGACACTTCTGTCAAGGTGCAGTGACACTGCTGGGTGACAGCTGACCTCCCGTGCTGATTTAATGGCCGTGATTGCCAACAGTAGTTGGTGTTGCCTTCGGTAGAAATATCCAGAAGTGCATTGGATCTTGGCAGGTCAGAAACTGTCCTTGACTTCTTTGGGACAAGGTTCCTGTGCTTGTGTTGTAAATTGACGTAGTGAGGGGAAAACAAGTGGTGTTAAAGCTATATAATTTCTTCACATGACAAAGAATACATTTTTGTTTAGTTGTGGTAAAATACATAACAAAGTTTACCGTTTGGAGGTGTTTTTTTTTTTTTAGTGCTCTATTTGAGAGAAAGAGAGAAAGAGCCTTGCTTTGCTGGTTGATTTCACAGATGCGGGCAGTGGCTGGGGCTGGGCCAACGTGGAAGCCAGGAGCTAAGGAGGCAGCCCGGATCTCCCACAGATGGCAAGGAGGCAGGGGGCTGATCGAGTCATCACTGCGGCCTCACAGGGTCGGTAGGGGCAGGAGGCTGCAGGCGACCCTGGGTGCCTTGCCCTGGACTATGTGTGGTTGCCAGGCTGGATGGCTGCTGCCTACTAGGCCCATTTTTAAACGAAAGGTGCAGTGGCATGAAGGCGTGCATACCTTTGTGCAACCAGCACTGTTCTCCATCCCCAGAACCTGTCCATTGAACTTTACAAAAGAGTGTTCTAATAATTTACCTGGTATCACTTTAGTTATTTGAAATCTGGCCAGTTAGACTGATTCTCACATTTGGTCATGATTATTCTGCATGTGTCATTTCTTTTGGTTTTGCCACAAAAAGCATTTTTTTTTTTTTGAGAAAATTTATGGAATGTAGTTTAATGTGGCCGTGAATCTTAGCTCAGGAGCACACACAGTAGCACTGCAAGCTGTGAACTGCTGCAGACAGGGAGATGGAGCGGAGTTACTGTGTCCTACTCAGCAGGCACGACCTGGAGAAGCTACACGAGAGAGTATGCAGGGTGCTTGGCTCAGTGCTTCAAGGTGCTTGGCTCAGTGCTCGGCACAGAGTTGGTGCTCGGTCAGGTTATTGCTGCTATTGTGTGTATTGAGTATGTTGCATTCGCTTTAAATTAAATTTCCTTCGGGCCCGGCGCGGTGGAGCATTGGTTAAGGTCCTCGCCTTGCACGCCCAGGATCCCATATTGGCGCCGGTTCTAATCCCCGCAGCCCGGCTTCCCATCCAGCTCCCTGCCTGTGGCCCGGGAGAGCAGTGGAGGACGGCCCAAAGCTTTGGGACCCTGCACCCGCGTGGGAGACCCGGAAGAGGCTTCTGGCTTTGGATCGGCATAGCATTGGCCGTTGTGCTCACTTGGGGAGTGAAACATCGGACGGAAGATCTTCCTCTCTGTCTCTCCTCTGTATATCCGCCTTTCCAATAAAATAAATCTTTAAAAACAAAACAAAACAAAAATTTCCTTTGAAAAGGAAAATGGCTATATTTGTAACTTCCTTGTTGCATAATTTTAAGTAGAGTCATCATTTGAATTTACCATCTGAAAAATGTTCTCAATTTTCAAGATTAGAGCTGGAATCCAAGACTGACTTGGTGGAGGGACTTGGTGATTTTGTTTCACTGTGAAGGCTGGTTGCTTTATGTAGGTTGTAAATTAATCTGAGGATAAAGTGTTTCTTTTGAAGTTGGATTGTGAGCTGGTTGCAAATTTGGGGAGGTTTGCATCTGTAATATTTTGGGGGCATCTTTCTCTGCTTTGGTAGTGTTGCAGCATCTGGGTAAATACCTGAGTTTGTTGTTAGAACCCGGTCTCCTATTCAGTGTTAGTTTGGAAAGTTGTCTTTCTGAAGGCTTGTTTTCAGTATTTGATTTATTTTATTCTTTCAGAGTAAGCAGTCGTCATCTGTTAGACTCGGGTTGGGTAAGTTGTCACTAGATGTGTGGATGGGCAAAGGTGATTGAAACTTTACAGTTTTTCTGTGGCTTAATTTGATTGGTTTTGTTATGCCAGTGAACTATATGAAACTATGTGAAAAATTTCTCACAGAGTTTAGACTTTTGCAGTTTGCTGTTTGTCATTTGCCCAATTAAAATCAAGTAGATGTTAAATCAAATAGGAAATGTGTATTTCCTCCACTATGTGATGAATGAGATTATGGAGACATAAATGAAATACAATAAATCTGAGAAAAATTGTTCCTACACATGTTTTCCTGTTGTGAAGTAAGTATTGGAGACGTGTAGCATATGGGATTAGTTTGTGTTAAAATTTGTATTTTGTTAGGAAATCTTGGAAGAAACTGAGTTAGCCAAACTGTGTGGAGCTTGCTGTCCGGGTAACGTTAGCCTTTTTTTGAAGTTTAGATCCTCCACAGTGGTGATCCATGAGGAGTATCTGAATTGATCTGTTGTTGCAGTGTTGTGGTTTATTCCTCCTTCTAGTAGAAGTGATAGTGGCTTTCCCTAGGGAAAGAGGAATGGGTTTGATTTGGTGTCTCAGATTCCCAAGAGGGCTTTAGGGGAAACATACTATTTTTGAAAATCTAATAAATTCTGAATTTGGAAACATTTTAGCCCCAGCTGAAGCCATTGTTGACTAAGTTAGGAAATGAACATTTAGATTACCTGAGTAGTTGTAAAGAAATACTAGATAATTATCTTAAACTCTAAGGTTTTGCTTGTTTGTTTTGGTTGTTGTTCTTTTGTCTGTCCTTAGGATCTTGATTATAAAGTCCTCTTTTGGCATTTGGAATTCTGAAATATTTTAAACATTAAAAGAATTTGCATCTGAATGTAGGTTTTGAATCGAGAGCAGCATTCCTGAAATGACTGTACAGGTGAATAAGTGAGACCCCAGCCCCCCGAGCTGCTGTGGTGGGCTGCTGTGATCCTGTCTGCCACCTTGGCAGTTGTGATGTGCCTGACTGTATCCTTAGGCCATCACAGGTCACAGTAGAGTTGATGTTTGTTTTTCTCTTCTTTCCTTTCTGTTTTTCTATGATGGCAGGTGTTGCTGGGAGCATTCCTGAGGCTCCTGTGAAGTTTCTACAGATGAGGCTAACTATATATTTGAGAATGGAATTGCTGGATTTTAAGATATGTTTGACTTAGTATAACAGAGTTTAGATCTTTCCCTAACAGTGTATTTTGAACAATTTTGAAGTCTAGTAAGGGTGACAGAATTGACAATGAACTGTTGTGTACTCACCACTTAGTATTTTTTTTTATCACATCTGTATGCCCATTGCAATCTAGTGGTGAAATTTATTTTTTATTTTGCTTAAGAGATTGGTATGTTTTGCTCTTAGCGATTTACGCGTTTTAAGTGTAGTTCAATATTTGTTTAGGTTTCTTAAGGATTACATTTACATGATTGAGATACACAGATCTTAAATGTGCCATTGACGATTTCTATGCAAGTGCACATACCTGTGTTGTAAGTCTTTTAAAAATGAGTATCTTTACAGATCCAGGAATTTTCATACTATACCTCTAGCTAGCTCCACACACAATTCTGCT